GGCAAGCGGCCTGGTGGGCAGGGCCAGGCAGAGACCCCGTGTTGTTTCTTACCTCCTCTCTCCTCTCTCCCAGGTCTCTGGGCTCTACTGCTCACCCCACAGAAAGATCTGGCCCTTGTCTGGTTCCTGGGAGGGAGCCCCTAGCCCTTGGAGTATCCTACTTGATAAGAACCTCTTTGTATACCTGGGGGCCATTCTAACAACGTGGTGTATAGTGGGGGCCTTGGGCCACACTGACCCAAGAGGTATCAGTCTGACCTATAGAGGGGCCAGAGACTGAGTAGCCAAGGTCAACCACATGGTCAGCCATGTTTATGTGGCTGATATAGGCTGAATTGTGTCTACCCCAAATTCATTTGGTGACTGTCTCCCCGCCCCCCCCGTCCCAGTACCTCAAGATGTGACTGTATTTGGAGATAGGGCCTTTAAACAGTGATGAAAACAAATGGAATCTTCAGGGGGGGCCCTAACCCAATATAACTGGCGTCCTCATGAGAAGAGGAAATTTGGACACAGAGGTGTGTGTGCACAGAGGGGAAAGCATATGAGGACACAGAAGACGGCCCTCTACCAGCCAAGGAGAGAGGCCCCAGAAGGAGCCAACCCTGTTGATGCCTTGACCTCAGACTTCCGGCCTCTAGAACGGCAAGAAAATAATAAATCTTTCTTGGTTAAGCCACCCTGTCTGTGGTGTTTTATTATGGTGGCCATAGGAAAATAATACAGCAGTCTGCCGTCAGTGAAGATACTGGACAAGACTCGAGGAGCTTCCCCGGTTGACGGTAGACCACATGTGTGGTCCAGCATCATTGCTGGGAGAACTAAGTGCTGTCTGTACAAGCCCACAGGGAGGGGACAGCTGGTCCCCTGGCGGCTGGTCTCTTCTGGACCCTCCCCCCATGTGCTTTTTACCTTTGCTGATTCTTTTCTTTTTTTTAAATTTTTTTTATGTTTTATTTATTTCTAGGAGAGAGAGAGACAGCGTGAGCAGGGGAGGGTCAGAGAGAGAGGGAGTGACAGACTCAGAAACAGGCTCCAGGCTCAGAGCTGACAGACAGCACAGAGCCCGAAGCGGGGCTCGAACCAACAAACCGAGAGATCATGACCTAAGCGAAAGTCAGACGCTTAACCGACTAAGCCACCCAGGCGCCCCTACCTTTGCTGATTCTAATCTGTATCCCTTCCCTGTAATAAACTGTGAGTATAACAATTTTGCTGAGTTCTATGGAAGCACTGAACCTGAAAGTGGTCTTGGGGACCTCCTACGAGGTTCACAGAGGTAGGAGTGACTCCCCAAGTCTAAATGTACATTTAGAAGTAGGAGCTTCCCCTCCAGGGCCTCAAGCTGTCGTCTTACGCTGCATCCTTCCTTGTGTCTTTCTTTCCCACCAGCTGACCCACCTTTTGCCTCCCAGAGCCCCACCTGGGGCTGCAGCATGACCTTGGGCAAGTCACTCACCTGAGAGGCCATCTGGCATGGTGGAGGGAGGGGTCACACTACTCAGGATTGGAATCCCACCTCTGCCCTTGGTCTAGCTTATGACCTTGGGACAGTCACCTTCCCTCTCTGAGCCTCAGTGTCCGAGTCTCCAAATGGCTTTGCACCACCCAATAAAATCTCACGTATAGAGAAAGAAGTGTCATTGTGCTCTTGTTGCAGAAATCTGGTCTGGATCACTGGCAGAAGAACCAAGCGGCACTCGGAGATCTTGGAAGGGAGGAGGTTTATTTTACGCCGGTGGGCTCAGAAGAGATCATTCTCCAGAGGTCTGAGCCCAGAGCATCAGCAGAGGGAGTAATTTATAGCCTGTTACTTCTGCATTCCTCATTAGTGCATGAGATAAGCAGTGTGGGAAGAAGAACCCGGAAGAGGGAGCCTTTGATCAGGGACAGGTATTTCCTTATCAGTCCTGGCGGCCATCTTATAACAGATTTTTCCCTATCACTCTCAGTCTGGCCAGGGTCACTCTGCTTGAAGAAAATAAATATCTGTAGAGATAAATTGGCTCAAACCCCTCCGAACACCTTGCTGACATTTTGGAGAATTACTAGATGATTGTTTTCTCGTGGTCTCCTGTTATTGCTGAATGAAATCCTTTCATAGTGAGCTCGCTCTTTCTGGTCTCTATGATGAGGTGCACTGGCTTCTCTCCTTGATTTCACCAGGGCTCCTGGGTGTGTAACAGGCTTTCCTGAGGCCAGGGGAGCCGAGGGAGAGTTTACATTGCATACCACAACATCTTAACCTTGACTATTAGATGTCTCTGTTCCAACCCAGCCTACCTCCTAGAGTCTAGTCATTGCATTGCCTCCCTATTCATTCATTTGTTCATCCATTCATTTGTTAATTAATTCACTCAGTCGACAAATATATTTTGAGTGATCAGTGTCCTAAGCATGGGGGTATGGAGTTGGGCAAGATAAACAAGAAACCACAGTCTCTCATCTCTCAGCTCACAGTTAAGTCGGTGAAATAGAGTCTCATGGGAGAATCACACAAATGAATATAAAGTCACTGAAGTGATGAGAAGAATGAGGAATAGTTAATGTATTTGGGCACCTGACATAGCTGAGGTAAGGAGGGGGTGAGAGACTTCCCTGAGGAAGTGGGGTTTGCCTTGAAAACCTCAAAGCTAAGGAGGCACTAGCATATGCAAAGGTCTGTGGCACCATCTATCTCTTCCTTTTCTGGTGCTGGGATTTAGCCCATTGCATCTCTTACTCTTTGGTCCCTTTTGGTCTCCCTGCTTCTTGGCATTCCCATCCAGGGTTTGCAAACTAGAGCCTGTGGGTCAAATCTGGCTCTTGAGCTATGAATAGTTTTTTTTTAAAATGTTTGTTTATTTGTTTACTTAGAGAGCGAGCAAGCCCACATGCAAGCAGACGAGGAGCAGAGAGACAGGGTGAAAGAGAGAATCCCAAGCAGGCTCCGCACTGTCAGCACAGAGCCCAAAGTGGGTCTCGATCTCACGAATTGTGAGATCATGACCTGAGCCGAGATCAAGAGTTGGGCACTTAACCCACTGAGCTACCCAGGTACCCTTGATTTTAAAAAATTTAAAATAGTTGGAAACAAATAAAACGGAAACATTTTGTGAGCTACATTTTGTTGGATAATCAAAACCTTAAAGTTAGTATCCATGATGGTAGGCTTAGTGGTAACTATAGCATTAATGTGTCCAATTATAGGTAATGTTAGAAAGCTCACACTGGGTGGCAGATTTTAGACAGGATTTTCTGTTTCACAAATTATTTTTTTCCCCTCTCTGCAACCCTGGAGCTCAGCCAGTTGAAAGAGAAGGTAGAAACCTCCTCCTGATTTCCTCTTTGTGGGTGACCGTTGAAATAATTTGGTAGTTGAGATATTTGGGATCCTATGTTCCCAGGTAGTCACATTAGAAGAGGCAAGTGTGTAGGAGGGTTTCCAGGGGTGGGGGGATGAAAAAGAGTGAACCAAATGTCAGTCACTAAAACCCAAACAGCCAGATCCATTTTTGCAATATATTTTACTTTCTTAAAAATATAGAAGGCACATACTATATTTTATCCCTACAATCTGGGGCATAGAAGCACACAGAAGGCAGATATTGGTTAGAATCTTCCTGAACCATTTTGATGTCAATACATTTTTTTAATGAAACAGTAAAAAAAAAAAAAAAAAGGCCGTATTTCATGACATGGAAAATTATATGAAATTCAAGTTTCAATGTCTATAAATCAAGTTTCATGGGTGCTAATCCACACCCATTTCTTGACATATTGTCTATGGTGGCTTCCACGGTGGAACTGCAGAAGTGATGATCAGGCTGATGATTCCTCTCCGGCCATTTATAGAAAGCTTTCTGATTCCCATTCCATGGTATGATTCATCAGTGGATTCATTCGGAAGCACAGCCCTCCCCACATCCCTGCTTAATGTTATGGTCCCCTCTGCCCTGTGGACCAATCCCTGCGGTGACTGACCACTGTGGTCCTCCACAGCCTCCCTCCCGCCTCCCTCCGCTCTCGGTGGGCTGGGGACACACCTTTCCGTGACTTCTCTGAACAACCCAGGCTCAGTCCCACCACAGGAACGTTACATCTGCTGTCCCTCCCAGCGCGCGACTACACCTGAGATAGGGGCGCTGGGCCAGTTTGCAGCCAGGATCAAGATTCCTGAAACACAAACTTTAAAGCCATTTTATGAAATGGCACTATCGCCACCTGGTGGCCACATGCTCAAGCTGTAGCTGCAATTCTTCCAAAGCATTTGGTGTGGTCATTGGACTTTCCTCTTTAAGGCAGTGTTTATGGGAGGGAAAAATGGGAAATGTCTATGGAAAAAAGCCCTAGATCTGGTTCTCTTGTGTCTCTGAACTGAAGGCCTATTTGGATCCCAAATCTCCGCAGCTCTCCTTTCCATCCCCCAGCAATTCCCATGATCCCCAGACTTTAAGGTTCATGTAAGCCCCTTGGGTTGTTGTTAAATTATGATTCAATGGTTTGGGATGATATTTGAGTCTTCATTTCTGGCAAATTCCCCATGATGCTGATGCTTCTGATTCATGGATCTACTTGAGTATCAGTTTCTATGTTTTCTAAAGAAAAGGGGTCAGCAAACTCCTTTGGTAGAGGACCAGATAGTAAACATTTTAGGTCTTGGGCACCATGAAATCTCTTTCAAGATTATTCAGCTCTACCTTGTAATTTGAAATCAGTCATAGATGATAAATTAATGGGTGTGGCTGGGTTCCCATAAAACTCTATGAACACTAAAATTGGAATTTTATATAATTCTGATCTGTCATAGAATAGTCTTTTAATTTTTTCCCAACCACGTACAAATGTAAAAACAGGGGGCACCTGGGTGGCTCAGTCGGTTAAGCGTCTGACTTCAGCTCAGGTCATGATCTCGTGGTTTGTGAGTTCCAGCCCCGCATCAGGCTCTGTGCTGACACTGCAGAGCCTGCTTGGGATCCTCTCTCTCTCTTTTGCTCTCTGCCTCTCCTCTTCCTTCTCTCTTTCCCTCTCTCTGTCAGAAATAAGTAAATAAACTTAAGAGAAAGAACTTCATCAGATGGATGGACATGGAGAAAAGGGGCACATGGGGGCCTTTTGATGACAATGATCTCCAAACTCATGGCCCCAAGATGTGATCACAAGGCCCCTATGAGACCGAGTCTGGTGGCTGCTGAAACAAATGATAAGTGAGCTAATCTCAACAGATGCTTTTAATGTCCTTCTCCGAGTCACTTAGGAAGCATGGTGATGTAACTGGGTAATATGTGTTGTCTTTGTCAATATTAAAATGTTGTGGCCAATCTTTTGTTCAACTAGTGTTACCCATGGGCCACTCCCATAAGCCCAGTAGCCCAGAGAGGGTCAATTTAAGACTACTTTGAAGTCTTCTGATCTTCACGGGGAAGACAAACTATGAGCAAAGCACACATCTCTCTCTTTGGGTCCCCATAGCTTTTCATTCATCTTTTGTGACATGTTTACCATGTTGCACCATAATGATTTATTTACATATCTCTATCCCCTGCTCAACTCTGAATGCCTTGAGGGCGGGGATGGGATGTATCTCCGTGTTCTTGCCACCCAACAGTGGTTCTGGAACACGGTAAATGCTAACCACTGTTCTGACCTAGCACCGACAGGAGACTGCTTTGCTGATGAGCTTCCTCAGGGCTGCCTTCATGTCCTTGTTCCTTAGGCTGTAAATAAAGGGGTTCAGCATGGGGATGACCACCCCACACATCAAGGCAGCTGTCTTGTCCTTCTGGGAGGAAGTGGGAGATGTGGGCTGCAAGTACACAGCAAAGATGGTGCCGTAGAAGAGTGACACCGCGGTCAGGTGCGAGCCGCAAGTGGAGACGGCTTTCCACTTGCCTTGAGCAGAAGGGATCTTGATGACCGCCCAGAAAATGCAGGTATAAGAGAGGAGGATGCACGAGAGGGGGCTGATGCCCATGACGATGCCAAAAGCAAAAATCACCAGCTCATTGGTGTGTGTGTCAGAGCAGGAGAGCTTTAGCAGGGGCATGAGATCGCAGAAGAAGTGAGGGATTTCGGAGCCAGCACAGAAAGTCAGTTGAGCCATGAGGCAGGTGTGCACGAGTGACTGGAGATTGGTGATCAGCCATGGCCCCCCGACCAGCAACCCACAGACACGAGAGCTCATGATGACTGAGTAGCGTAGAGGGTGGACAATGGCTACAAACCGGTCAATGGCCATCATGGCCAGAAGGAAGCTGTCCATGGTCCCGAAGAGGTGGAAAGCATACATCTGAGCAAGGCAGCCCACAAAGGGGATGGTCTGGCTCTGGGTGTGAAGGTTCACCAGCATCTTGGGGACAGTGGTGGAAGAGAAGAAGACATCGACAAGGGACAGGTTGGAGAGGAAGAAATACATGGGCATGTGGAGGTGGGAGTCTGTGATGATGGCCGAGATGATGAGCAGGTTCCCAAAGATGGTGACCAGGTACATGGAGAGGAATAGCCCAAAGAGGAGCGTCTGATGCTCTGGCCTTTCTGAGAGTCCCAGAAGAAAGAACTCCGAGACTGCTGTTTCATTTTTTTGGCTTTTTGTTTCCATGGACAGCCTGTGTCTCCTGCAAGGGAAACGAGGGAGGAAAAAGGAGAGGAAAGCAACATAGAGCTGGAAGTTGGAGATGGAGCTCCAGTCCTGGAGGCTGCAGATTTCTGTGAAGATCTGTTTCTCCCCCAATGAAACCAACCGTGCCTGAGATAGTCGGCATCTCACAAACTTACCTTGGTTGTTTACAGACAACTCAGACATTGCCCACAAACACCTTTGTTGTTTTTTACCCCCAGTGAAACAACGCTTTGCAGAAAACACAATGAAGCTGAATCAAACCTAAACCAAACCTAGCGCAGAAGGGAACTGGATCACTCTCCTTTCTTCCCCTTTATCTTTCTCTATTTTCTCTCCTTCCTCTATTTCAACCTTCCTGCACACGATACAAGTTTAGCATCCATCTCAGGTTAATGACTGAGGATATGAAGACAGGTAACACTCTTCCTCTGCTTCCAATGAACGGCACATTTTTTAGGGGCATTTTATGATCTGCTACCACGTCACCACTACAGTAAAACCCCTTTCATCCGTTGTGATGAGAATGAGTGCTGAAAATCTTGTGGGAACATAAATGTGTGCCGATATTTTTCAAATTTGATCTTTTTTTTTTTTTAAATTTTTTTTTAATGTTTTATTTATTTCTAGGAGAGAGAGAGAGAGAGAGACAGCGTGAGCAGGGGAGGGTCAGAGAGAGAAGGAGTCACAGACTGAAACAGGCTCCAGGCTCTGAGCTGGCAGTCAGCACAGAGCCCGACGCGGGGCTCGAACCCACGAACCGCGAGATCATGACCTAAGCGAAAGTCGGACGCTTAACCGACTAAGCCACCCAGGCGCCCCTCAAATTTGATCTTAGGTCAAGTGTGTAGATTTATGCATTGGGCTTTCATGAGGACCACGGTCTTTTCTCTGAGTACGAATGCAGGGATCACCTGATTATCTTTCTTGCCTGAACCATACATAGGCTTCTCTCTATCCTTCATTAATGTGGAGCAAGAGATTAGGGATCCTTGTGAAACAATCCAGGGACAGAATCCTTTGTTTTTTTGTTTTTTTTTTTTATCACTTTACACCTAAATTGTGTTCAATTATCTTGCTCACATCTCATTTGACAGCAATTATTTTTTTATTTTTGGTGATTCCTTTTTATTAAATCTTTTCAAAGCATTCAACGTGGATTTAATTAAAAAAAAACATTTCTTTCCCTCCCTCCTATCCATCCCTTCCTTCTTTCTCTTGCAGTTCTTTTTTTTAAATGTTTGTTTATTTATTTATTTATTTATTTATTTATTTATTTATTTATTTATTTTTGAGAGACAGAGCATGAGCAGGGCAGGGGCAGAGAGAGAGAGGGAGACACAGAATCTGAAGCAGGCTCCAGGCTCTGAGCTGTCAGCACAGAGCCCAACATGGGGCTTGAACTCATGAACCATGAGCTCACGACCTGAGCTGAAGTGGGATGCTTAACCACTCAGGAACTCCCTCTTGCCATTATTTTATTTCTGTAGCATTTAGTTCAATGATACGATTGCAGCAGCAACTACACCCGTACAATCATATCTGTATTACTTAAAACAACTCAACTCAGCTGATGAGAGCAGAAATGCTTTGGCAAGTTAGTGACTAACCTTCTGACCGTGAGCATTCGGCATACTGAGATAGCACCCAGTACATTCTCAGGGGGAAATAGACACCATGGATGAACCCAGGAAGCTGGTTAAGTGGAGATTTTAAAGAGAAATTTCATGGTAAAAAAAGTATATCTGGAGTTTTGAAGCCAATGGTGTTTTGGAAATACATTTTGCCATTGGCAGTAGCTTTGCAGCACAGGAAATTTGGTATTTTCTTATGTTCTAGACAGGCTGTCACTAGCAATAGAAACCCTCAGTGAAAGATACATTGTTATAGCATGTTAAAGAGCTGTTTAAGAAGTTTATTCCAAACAGAACTCGCAGACATAGCCTGGATTGTTCAAAGGTAAGCTGTTTCCATAAAAATGACAAAAATGCGGGATACCTGGGTGGCTCAGTCGGTTAAGCGTCCAACTTTGGCTCAGGTCATGATCTCACTTCTCATGAGTTCAAGCCCCACATCGAGCTCTGTACTGACAGCTCAGAGCCTGGAGCCTGCATCGGATTCTGTCTCCGTCTCTCTCTACCCCTCCCCTGCTCATGCTCTGTCTGTCTGTCTGTCTGCCTGTCTCTCAAATATAAAATAAAACATAAATGCATGTATAGGAGGATTAGGAGGAACTTAACGGAGGACCACGGGGGAGAAGAAGGGGGGAAATAGTGGGGGAGGGGGAGAGAGGCAAACTATGAGAGACTCTTGATGCTGAGAACAAACTGAGGACTGATGGGTGTGGGGGGGAGGGGAGAGATGGGCATGGAGGAGGGCACTTGTGGGGATGAGCACTGGGTGTTACATGGAAACCGGCTTGACAATAAACTATTTGTAAAAAACAAACAAACAAACAAACAAACTTGGATGTTTGGAGAGGGTCCCGTGGAGCTGAGTCCCAGCTTCTGGGAAGGGAGCACTGTTCTGGGTTGCTGGTGGTGTCCGAAGGGGTAGGAAAGGCTGGTTCTGCAGGTGTCGAAGCTGCTGCCAGGGTGAGGCAGCCTCGCTGAGGAAGCACTGAGACACAAAGGGAAATGAGATCGTGAAAGTCCTCTTTGCTCCAGCCCCACAGACTGACATCCGTGCTTCCCACTGGATGTGTTTACAAGAAGTAGCTGACAAGCAGAATCATTTTGTTCTCGGCGGCCCAACTTGGGATCACAAAGAAGAATCTTGAGGGGGGAACTTGGTGTTGAAACATGGTAGCTTCGTAGCTGGCATAGTATTATTTAGTATAGGGTGTGGACATAAAAAAACAAATTCAAGAATCAAGTGTGTGTTTGTCGAGAGATGGTTATGTGATGTTTCAGAAGTTGGAGAAAACAAATAGGGAAGGAGGAGAATTTTTGACAGTTATCTTTAGTTTGTCAAGGAAGGCTTTGTATACTAGTGGGGACTGGAGGTTAAAAGAAAGATTCTATCTATCTATCATCTATCTATCTATCTATCTATCTATCTATCTATCTATCTATCTCTCATCTACAATCTACCATCTATCTATCTATCTATCTATCTATCTATCTATCAATCATCTATCACTCATCTACAATCTATCTATCATCTGTCTATCTATCTCACATTTTTTTGTCCGTTCATCTATGGATAGACATTTAGATTGCTTTCATGTCTCATCTGTTGTAAACAATGCTGCAATAAACATCGGGGTGTAGATATCATTTTGAATAATGTTCAGCCATGCAAAAGAATGAGACCCTGTCATTTGTAATATCATGAACGGACCCAGAGGGTATACTCTTAAGTGAAATAAGTCAGTCAAAGACAAATGCTGTATGATTTTACTCATATGTGGAATTTAAGAAACAAAACAAGTGAACAAAGGGGAAAGAAACAAACCAAAAAAAAAAAAACCCAAAAAACCTTAAAAGCAGAAAAGAAACTGTGTACCAAAGGTGAGGTGGGTGAGGGATGGATGAAAGAGTAAAGGGGTTAAGAGGACACTTATCTTGATGAGCACTGAGAAATGTATAGAATTATTGAATCACTATCTTGTATACTTGAAACTCATATAACATTACGTTCATTATGTTTCAATAAAAGATAAATAAATATTAAAAATGTATGGTCAAAAAAATAAAATAAAACATAAAAAAATTTTTTAAAAAAGACAAAAATGTGCCCAAATGTCTATTTAATGGAAAGCAAAGTGTGCTATGTGTTTATTCTTGTAGGTAATATGATGATAAGAAAAGTGAGTTTAATTATTTAATTAATTAATATATTTATTATGAGACAGAGTGCGATCAGGCAGGTGAAGAGAGAGAGAGGGAGAGAGAGAAAGAATCTCAAGCAGGCTCTATCTACTCTTTTACCGCAGAGCTCAATGTGGGGCTCGAACTTATGACACCGTGAGATTATGACCTGAGCCAAAATCAAGAGTCAGACACTTAACTGACTGAGCCACCTAGGTGCCTCAAGAAAAGTGAGTTTATAAAAATAACACACTGATAGGAACTGATATGAAAATAGCAACCAATGTGAGGGCAACATTTAAGGAAATCCTGACATGTATGCATATTGTGAGAACATTCTCATTCATCTATTTAAAATTGCTAATGGGTATGATCTCGGTTTTATTTCACGTGTACTTAGAAAGGACTCTGGAGTTCATCCTAGGTCATTTTCATCTGCAGAGTCTGAGGCGACTCTGAGCTCCTCTCTACTTTGGCTTCAGCAGTTTGGGACTTAAGGGCAGCTTAATGTCAAAAACCCAGAGAAAACATATCTTTATCCTATCCACGCGAGACCGCCAAAGACTGCTTGCATTTCTCTTTCCAAGTTCCATGGGGTGGTGCCCACATCGATTCTTCCTTTCACTTCACAGACACTTACAGAAAGTATGTTAGGTGCCACTTATTTCTCTTATGTTACGTGGATAATACAGAAGGAGCCCAGCATGGCATGACTCACCAAGTTTTGGTAAAACCACAATATTGACTCTTTTCAGCAAAAAGAGGATTTTTTTTAGCTCGTTGCTTACCTGGTTAGGTCCCCACATCTTAAAGCAAATTGCTGACAAGAGGCCATCAGAGGAGGGGCGCCTGGGTGGCTCAGTTGGTTAAGTGGCCGACTTCAGCTCAGGTCATGATCTCACGGTTTGTCGGTTCGAGCCCCGCGCAGGCTCCGGCTGATAGCTAGCTTGGAGCCTATTTCAGATTCTGTATCTCCCTTTCTCTCTGACCTTCCCCTGCTAATACTGTCTCTCTCTCTCAGAAATAAATAAATAAAACATTTTAAAAAATTAAAAAAAAAAAGAGGACATCAGACGAGCTTACTGATTCTATCCGTAGAGTGTTGAGCCTTCTTAGGAGCCGCAGGTCCCTGGGGCGCCTGGGTGGCTCAGTTGGTTAAGCATCCGACTTCAGCTCAGGTCATGAT